ACTAGTGCATAGCAGAGCATGTTAGTGGATATTCGTGCTTAGTAGATTATCTAAAGGAATGGTGGTGCTTAGTAGAGCATGTTAAAGACTGGTGGTGCATAGAATAGTATGTACAGGAACAGTAGCGCGTAAAAGAGCTTGTTATGGGGTAGCGCTAGTAGAAGAGTGTGTTAAGGAATAGTAGCACATAGTAGATTTTGTTTTTAGGGAATAGTGGTGCTTAGTAGAACTTGTTCGGGAATAGTGCTGCATAGTAGAGAATGTTCGGGAATAGCGGTGCTTTAGTAGAGCATGTTTGGGAATAGTGGTGATTAGTAGAGCAGGTTCGGGATTAGTGGTGCTTAGTAGAGCATGCTCGGGAATAGTAGTGCTTAGTAGAGCATATTAGGAGACAGACAGTACAGTAGAGCATATTAGGAATAGTGGTGCTTAGTGGGCATATTAGGAGACAGTCCATACAGTAGAGCATGTTAGGGAATAGTGGTGCTTAGTGGAGCATTTATACAGCAGAGCACTGTCAAAAGTGCTGTGTATGGTGGAGCTCCGTAGACTATAGTGATGTATAGGAATCCATAGTGACTAATGACTAGTGAAGCATAGTAGAGGATAGTGGTGTATAGGGGTACATTGCAGAGGTGTGTGGTAGAGGACAGGGATGCACAGAGGAACAGTGTTTAGACCTTTGGGTGCATAGTGGAACATAGTCGAGACAAGGATGAATAGTGGAACATAGTGACACGTGTCAGAGCATAGTGGAGCATGGTTGGTGGTACATGGTTGGTGGTACATGTTGGTGGTACATGGTTGGTGGTACATGTTGGTGGAACATGGTTGATGGTACACGGTTGGTGGTACATGGTTGGCGGTACATGGTTGGTGGAGCATGGTTGGCGGTACATGGTTGGTGGTACATGGTTGGTGGTACATGGTTGGTGGTACATGTTGGTGGTACATGGTTGGTGGTACATGGTTGGTGGTACATGCTGGTACGTAGTGGTACGAAGTGAAATGCACCAACACTGATTCAGAACATGTCTACAGCCCCTGCGTGTATAAGAGTGTGAACGTTTCAATACAAATACGTTAGTCTATTGATTTTTGCCGACGTTTAAAACAAGACCACGAGGACTCGTACGTGCATGGAACAGTCTAGGACGCATAAAGAACTGAATACAAACATTCTCTAGACAAACATGACTGTCTCAAACAAAAGTGATTATGTAAAGAAAATGTTTAACTCCATGCCTCGGACAGGGGTTGTGTGTGACGAACCAATGAAGGCGAAGTTGAATCCCAGATTCACCAAGATAATGTCTCTACCTTCTCAGCATCGTACCTCTGCTCATGGGTGTCATGGTCCTGATTCACTTTGGGCTTTCCTGTGATAATGCGTGATTTGTAATATGATGTTTTATGGGACAGCGTCCAAAAAATTTAAATGAAACATGTTACATTTCAAGTTGTTGATGACCCGAGCTAAAGCGCTCATATATTTAACTCACTTTTGTCTGTTAATTTTGAAAAGGCTCTCATGGGAGTCATAAACCTGACGTCAGAATATTGCAAAGCCGAGCCGGACTCCTTTTGCAGAATATTCGATACAAAAACTTGACCAATCAAGCCACAGGGGTGTGAAATATGGCGCTATAAACAGGCTGAAGACATAACGACTGTAACGTTAAATTTGCATGAGCGATCGTTGTGAAAGAGGTGTCGGTAGGCCAAATACTGCAGCGTAGTGAGTGAGTGAGTGAGTGAGTGAGTGAGTGAATGAGTGAGTGACCCCACAATGGTGGGATTCTGGCACTCTGATAGATAGGAACTCTGCACAGCGACTGTGGCGTTACAAATCACGAGGCCCTCCGTGCCCCCTGTTAAAGATGTAACAATGACACATGTCATATATCAAGTTCTTTATGTGGTATAGGGATGGTCTGAGCTCAAGCGCTCATATATTTGGCACACGCTAGCCTGAAAATCCCGGAAGGCGCCCATGGGCACAATTTATCTCCAGTGAACATGGTTCACAGCTCAATACTAATTCAAAATTTTCAATGCGAAAACACTAAACAATCAAGCTACAAGGTTGTGAAGACTGTCACATTCTATGGACCATAGTACCACCACAGCTGGTCCGTTACCAATGTCATAGGTGCCTCGTGTGGCTGTCAGTATTACTCAGAACACTACTTCTCTTGCTACTGTTACGGATACGCAGATGGTCAAGTGGTCACCGCCCTGTTGTTAAGGTGCGTCACCACAACAGCAAACACACACACATTACAGTAACAAGTCGCCATAGAATGGAAATACTGATGAAAACGATAATAATTAATTTTGACTCATTCACTCACGCAAGCACTCTAACAACCATCCACTCTCAACACCAAGCATCACACTAACTCACTCATTCACTTATTCATCTCACAACACCTTATTTCCCTCATTCCAATACTACCCATCAAAAGTTTAGACTCACTTAAAGCACTGCATATATGTGTGGTTACATCGAAGATGAATTTCTCCACTAACTTTGGGGAACCAACTGCAAACTATATGGAAATGAATTGCACGAGGATAATGTATTAAATTGCTAAAATGCATGTGCTAATATCGTGCATGTGAACAGCTGTGTTGTGGTGTAAAACTTTGTTAAAATTCGCCAATTTTCGCTCAGTTTCATCATTTTTTAACCCATGATAATAATCTTTTCAACGTTACGAATTTGTTTTACAATACATCAGTTCATGTGTAAACAGTACCTTTGAACAGTATGAAAATTTTGCAAAATCTAGTTTAGAAGAGTTGACTTAAGTAAGTGGCTACATTTACACTAGTGAGTCTAAACTTTTGACGGGGAGTATATTTTGCCAAAAACAAACGCACACACACACATTACAGTGCAAGTCGCCATAAAATGTTGATAGAAACGACTGCAATGATTTAACTTAATTATCGACTCATTCATTTGAACGCACTCAAACAGCCATCCACTCTAAATATCAAACATCACACTCACTCACTCACTCATCACACGACATGCTGCTTCCCTCGTTCCAACATAAAGCCATATCTCAAGCTATTTTGAAAAAATACACATTGAAACTTTGGGCATTCCCATCGGGATTAGATCACATAAAATATGAACGACCCCTACTGTCCTTCCTTATCGACCAACCCTTCCATTGATCGGGTTTAATTAGCAAGAGCGGCGATTTCTTAGAGAAATATTTATAGGTACTCAGTCCTCTAGCGGCATCTCGTTAGAAGCTGGACGTCAGATGATTTGTAGTTTGTATCTGTGGCTCATTTAACACATCATACAGCCACTGCACCAGGCCTGGGAATAACCATCTACATCTGCTCCATATATTCCACATAGTAACAGTTGTCGGTTCCGAGCTGCGACCTATCGACCAGTATTAATTAGATTTCGGGAGGTATCTTATTCTGTCTGCTTGTGACGGTTGAATCAATGAGTAAGCGAGCCGTGGGTTATAGAGATATGTTTATGTATCGCGTGTGGTCTTCAGAACTACTTCAGGCATGAGACGTTCTTGTACAGGAAACCTATAAATGGCCTTCTTGTAACCCTTGTAACTCTGATCGTTATATATAAAGTTTTATTGGTAAGAACTGTTCAGTAATATCATGGCTTTTGAGAAAATTTAAGTATATGGTATAATGCCCTATCTGAGGTGTGAACGTATATCACATAGCTGAGACCTATAGTGAGTATGGAGGAGACAGGGGCTATTCTGAGATTTAAAGTAACGGGCAGCTGATCGTGGCATTCGGGACTGTTGCGTTACCATTTCACAGTGGTAGTTTTTAATGTCTGGATCTGAACGTTAATGGGATAAAACGGAGACTATTAGTATACTGTGTCTGAAAGCGGTTGACATGGTAAACCGTGACATTGTATCTCAAGGCGACCTGCACTGTTCCAGACTAGAACATGTACCCAACATACGCGCACGCACGCACGTAAGCACGCACGCAAGCACGCATACACTTCGCCTCTTTATCTCATTCAGTGGTAGTGCTATGATTGAAGTTGGATTACCTCGAACACCTTTCATTTTTCACTAAATAACAGCCATCAAATTGACACTAAGAGTGAGTGAGTTCAATTTTACGCCGCTTTTAGCGATATTCCAGCAACATCACGGCGGGGGATACCAGAAATGGGCTTCACACTTTGTACCCATGTTGTAACACTAAGATGGGAGAATGCAAATGTTGGCCGACAATCAACCAATGCCATCAGTGTTCGATGCCAAAGACTGAGATTTTGTCTGTTTAGACGACCACAACCTATGATCAAGACTTACCATGCAATGCACATCGATACAGAGGAACACTCGTAAAGAGCAGTATCAGCCGTATTTACATGTTGAAACAGTGTAAATAGCCGAGCTATACAACGAACTGTATTGGCATTTAACTTTTGATCAGCGCTATATGCTTCGAAATACCTTAAAGTCAATCCAATTCACTTCCCTTTAAAACAAGAGGCAGTGGGTTATCCTTATAAATAAAGTTTCAACGCATCTTACCGAACCTCAGAGTTCTATTGCCCACATGGGTGCGATGTGTTAACGATTCTCAGTATCCAAACACCGTCGTTTGATTGGAATAACAGAAAACACTAGAACAAACCCTACTTAATTAAATCCACACCAGAAAACTAACCACGAAACTTATTCCACAAGGATCCATATATTTGTGAAGCACGCAGTGATTCATCAATCTGAACGTCGAAAATACCACATGTCTCCAATACGTCCCAGCTTGAGACGAATTAATCAACCCAAACTACAACCAAAATCAGACCCCATGCATACAACGGTCTATTAGCATCCATTCAGTCGCAACATGTCTGTCATTACAACAATAGTATTAGTGCACTTTGTTTTACCAATTCCAGAAACAGGTCACTGAAACTGTTTCTGAAGAATTTAGGGACACGTAGAGTACGTAAGAGTAGTGCTACTCACACGTCGCCCACAGGACCGAGGAGGCCATCGCGGCAGTCAGCTGGATATGGACATCTATTGCGACAACCTTACCAATATATACAGACTGCATCGAATTATAACTTGTTTCAGAAATACAATTCCAGAGACTGTCTTCATTTGCTGTGACTTTAGTCGTTGACCAATTTCAATGTTTTGAAGAAAATGTCATGGTCGATGGCCAAGTGGGTAACGCGGCCATTTAAATCTAGTTTGTTCGATTCCCTGTAACGTCAAGTGAATTATGTGTTGAACCCTTGTCAGTATTAGTAAGATCTACTTATTGAATTATAAAGCCATTTTCAATATGTGATGGTAGATAAAGTTTTGTTATTTTATTTTCACATATAACATTCAGACAAAACTGACATCAAGTTAATGATCTTTGTTTCCGATAATGGTTTAAAGACCATGAAAAATGTCGGTATTATGTTGTCATACTTTTGCACATTTCATGATGAATGCAGTGGGCAACCTTTTAACATTTTAGTAAGATTTCAAACCGGACACATCAACATTCTGCATTACAAACTTGAGTAACGGTTCTATATTGTCGGGAGTATAGTATACGTTGATTTTAATACCAAGTTAAGTGCAGAAGGAAACCTGTTTTACGTTTCCTAACGGTAAAATGGATATTAATATGGTCAGTACAATAGATACTGGTGCCGGCAACCGTCAGAGATTTTCTGGAATAGCTTATAATGACTGCTTTAAGCGTATGAGTATTGCGAGATATAATTGCTTAATGAACTAATTGATATCATGGTCAGACCAACCAAGGTATTGCTTGTACTGTCCACTAAGCTTGTACTGTCAAATAGTAACATATGCTTCATTCAGGTCAAATTATTATCCATCAAACTGTCATGTACTTTGTGCCTTTAAAATCATTTAGTCTTAATTAAATTAGAAACTAAGTCTCTCTTTCCCTCTGTTTCTTATGAGCCAAAAGCCAATTATCGATGTTCTACATTCACACGATTCTCTGTTTAACTTTACTGATGTATGTACCCGATAGCAATACCACTGTAGTTAATCACTGATTTACCAGGTCCGATAATTCGATTATTCACCGGCCGATGTGATACAGGTTGCATAGTGTCAACTTGGCTTTGAAGAACAATCATTCGTACACTCAAAACGTTGGCTGCCGTCCTACAAGATGGTAACTTACGGCAATACTTGCTAGAGTGCCTCCATCTTAGTCAGTATCGTCTCTGCTACCAAGTGTTATTTTTGTGAATCCAATTTACCGTACCAATAACAAATGACCCACACCCAACCCCCTTAAAAAGAGGGAAAGTTAAGGAAAGATATATCTCACCATCGCTCGATTGTTCCCTGGGTACACAATAACGAATTTGCCGTTTAAAAAAAGATCTCATTGCAATTTCATTGTTGGGATATTTAAAAAAACGGAATGAAAGCGACAAAACCCTTTCCGCGTTCACAAGATATCTCTTCCGAGGGAAAATAGTCGATTGTGTGATTTCAATGTTATTTTCATGAACATCTTGCTTCGTTTTTTTGTCCACTCAGAAGAAGAGGGTTTATGGATTTTTCACAACGTCTTTATTGCCATAGATACGACGTTTCGATGTAGACGTTAATACCGTTATATATGACTTCCAAATGCCACTTTATGAAGTTTTGAGCTCTCGGTGAGTCATTTGTTTCATTTCGCATACAGTGAAACACGAACATATGTGGACCATTAAAACACAAAATATATCAAATGTCATCTCAACCAAAGACAGTTTTTATATATCTTTCATTTTGTGAATTCGCTCTTCCCGCTCTTATATTGAGCATGGTTGTAAGGGTCAGGTTCTATTCAACATATGGTCTGAAACACATGATCTGACATATTGTATCTTATTTTACCTGCTTGTTATGTAATGCATCAGTATGAAACTATTACTAGCAGACACTAAATACATTAGTGTTTCCTATTTGGCTGTAACGTAGACTATGTGATGTAAGACGCTAGATTGCGGGGATGCATACAGCAGCTATGCATTAACTATTTAAATGCTAATAGCCGCACGTATACTTGGCGCCTCAAACCAGATAACTCATTTGTCATCGTATGAGTTGCTGATGTCTTGACAAATGTGTTGTGGGGAGACAGCTGGAAGAGGCAACACACAACCGGCGCACTCATCTCCCAGTTGTGTCTTTCTGGATGGCTCTTGTCGCTGCTACTACTACTACTACTTCACTCCTCCTCCTCAAACTACGACTGCTACAGGAACTACTATTACCACGACTTCTACTAAATCACTACTACTCTGCAGCACTGTATGACAGTATGTGTCTACTTTGTTGCCATTGTTATATCCACGCACGCCTTTTACTATTACGGCCACTACTACTGCTATTACTTCTATGAATACTACTACTACTACTACTACTACTACCACTACTACTGCTACTGCTGCTGCTGCTGAGCCTCCTCCTCCTCCTACTACTACTGGTGCCAATGGATCATTGTAGTAAAAGGTATATAAGATTCCATTATTTGAAGACCGACGTTATATAGTTGGAATATTCCTGACTGCGTCGTGACACAAACACACAAAGTGCTTGGAATTCTAATCAAGACGAAAACCCCCAACAAACTCCCGATTCTACTGTCACCACTATAGTCCGTTTGACTCAAAAGCGGACCGATAAATTCGAAAACTAATAAACATAACATACTCAATGAAACGCTGATCATTATCAAAACATCATACCCACTCTGTGAGGTGTTTGCAGAATATTTGTCCTAAAAATAAAAAAGTTGTTTAACAAACTATCATTAAAATATTGACACAGTTCACTGTTTGTTACGAGGGAGGAGTGCAGAGAAAGGGACAGCCAGGTGTTCGAGAAGCACGTTCAGAGACAAAGTTATTTATTCATTAACCTGTGCTGTGCCGTCTCCATCCGTTCTCGAACACCTGGCTGTCCCTTTCTCTGCACTCCTCCCTTCTCAGCGTTTCATTGAGTATTTTATGTTTATTAGTTTTCGAGTTAGATTGCAATTCATCGGTCCGCCTTTGAGCCGAAAGGACTATACACAAACTTCCTCTCTATGCATGGGGATGATGGGATGCTATCTCTTCAGTATTGGCCACTGAAAATATGAACATGTCCATGGATCATGAATATCAATATCCATGCATATACCAAGGGCTGATTCTCAAACCGACATTCCAACATAGTTTCGTCCATAAAAAGGGATGGTGGGGTAGCTTTGTGGTTAAAGTGTTCGCTCGTCACGCCGAAGACCCGGGTTCGATTCCCCACAATTGGGTACAATGTGTAAAGCCCATTTCTGGTGTCCTCCGCCGTGATATTGCTGGAATATTGCTAAAAGCGGCGTAAAACTAAAACTTACTCATTCACTCGCCCATAAAAGTGACCTGACCAAAGTGCACCTAGCACTACGACGTGCGTACGTGTAATGCACACCATACGCACTTGAACTTGCACTGCACCTCCGTCTGGAGTTCCTGTGACCTTCTGCAAGATGTAAGTGCATCTCCATAAGGCTACAGATGAGTTACAACAATGGAACAATTAGCAGAATTCTGCTCGGAAACGTATGTAAAAATAATGGTGTGTTAACTGTATTTTTTCTGGCTAATAGCTTGCTCCTTCCTAACTGTGAATTGCAAGTAACATGTGCGTATAACGAGGCAAAAATGTTATATAGGTTTTACATACGGTTCTCAGTTTTGTGCCACATGCAGAAACTTTGGTGAGGGGACAATAGACGGCAATATTTCAGGAGGTCCATTCAGCCGTATTTAACAGATCTAGGAGAACACCATTACTGTGGTGTAGGCGATCCATAAAACGCACTTTTAAGCAACTAACATCTGTGCATAAGATTCCAATTACAATAAATGAAACAAATTCACCCTTTTGATGGTTAGAATCGAGATTTATGACACGTAAAAAGAGTTCCTGTTTAAATTGAAAATGTTTCTTAAGTGGACATCTTGAATGAAAGCTCTGATGGCATGAGCAAGCACACGCCAATAATGAAAACATAATGAATAACAACCGATCTCTCCTCACGGTCATCCATCCAATTGCTATCCGTTCTCAGTGGCAATCTTGACCCCCCAATCCACAGAGTACATATTGAAACTACTAGGTAAATATGAATCAGCAAGATCACAGATGACAGCTGGTGCTTCCGAGTGGTTATCCTTCATCAATTATCTTCTATGCCTACCCACCGTAGTGGTAACTCAATCCCCTTGTCTGCCTTCATGGAATCAAAGGGACATATATCTATTAATTGTTAGTTCGGACACAAATAAATGGCATTATTTCTCCACTAAATCTGACAAGTGATATTAATGCCAAACTAACAGCGGAGTCCTATCCTCAAAAACATGTTCCTTTATTTGTCTATACGGTCATCTTCCATGTTTATTGTCAGAGTTTCGTTTACTTGTTTAAATAAGAAACGGCGGCAGATATCTACGTTGTTTAGTTTACAGCCTTTCGGGATGTCACAGCCATTTATTCTCCTCCCCCAACAACATCGCTTGCTTCCGGCAGACTGTGTATTGTGGGAAGAGAGCCGGAAACAGATCGTGTGGCTGTTCCGGTGAACCCCACGCAAAGGGACTCAATCAGACGATTGACGTCGCGGCCAACAGACGAAGATCTTACCCTCGAGCAGCCGTCGTTTTATTAGTCGCAAGCAAGAATCAGCGTGTGCGGTTTTATTTCTGTATACTTAAGCCTCGTGGAAGTCTCGGAGCCTTGCTATTCGTGCCCTTTTTGTTGGGAACATACATATATTTTTTAGTAGATATTACTTTGTAAACGAACCATTTCATTGGAAGGGTGTTGTTCAGAATGATAATCCCCCGCCGTGATATTGCTGGATTATTGCAATAAGCGGCGTAAAACCATATTCACTCACTTACTCAGAATAATAAAGTTCCACTGCACTTATCAGTTTATGCTATATACCCGTGCTAGTTTGGTAATTAGTGCTCATGTGTGAGGTGTCAAGTAGAC